TCAACAGCCAGGCCATGGCAGCTGCTGTTTTGCCCGGCGCCCGCCCGCTGTGCTGTGCGCGGTAAGGGAAAGGAACCAACTCTGGCCCAAGGAAGAAGGCGCTGCCCCCTCCGCCCCCCAACCAGAGACTGGCTCCCGGAAGTCTCGTTCGCGTGTACAAGTACTGGTAATTTTCATTTTCGCCTTCCCCGTGAGTACCGCTGGCTACCACGGGCTTGCCATCCTCCCCTCCCTTGCGAACGCCGGATTCGACCTCTGGGCTTGTCGACTCGCTAAATGTTTCTCGCTCCTAGGCCTGGTGGCCCCTACCTAGGCTCCTGCTTCTCCTAGGCTGCAGGCCCAGGCTCCCAAACAGAATCAACTGGCAGCTTTCCACTCACACTCCCACGCCTCCTCCCCCATTCCATCCTGATCATCACCACCTGATGAGACCTTTCTGGAGAGGAACCCAACCGATCAACCAACCAATTTCAACTCCTTCATTCTGTTTAGCGTCCTTGTCCAGATCGCTGCTCATCAAGAATGCTCTACTTGTTAGTTTCTCAATTTTTCATCTACCTTGGTAGACCTGCACCAGCTAGCCCCTTGCTGCCTGGCTTTGCCCAGCCCGGCCCAGTGCTTGTTGTTATTTGCCTGCGAGGTACGAGGTACAAGGAACTGGGTATGGAGTGTCCGTTGTCTCAATTTCGCTCTGCCTACCGATTAGTCTCCTCCCGTGTCCTCCAAACTCGTCTCGCAACAACTCCATGCTGCACCAGACTACCAATGGCTTCTCTTCAATTCGTCACTACAGTAGGGGCACCCAAGGGGAGAGGCGAAGGCGAATGAGATGACGGCCATGGCGAAGACCACGGCCCCAAAACCCTCGTCCACTCAATCGTCCCACTATCCCTGTTTCTACCTTGCCCGACCTACTTAACCTACCTACTGTAAGTACTCCGTCTAGATGTCGGGACTCAGGATCGATAATAATACTCCGGACACGGCTTTAGTCACCCGTAAAACAGGTCACTAGTACCAACCAGTTTGAACCCTGTTATTCCGGCTGGTCCTTAGGCCCCAAATAATCCACACCCTGGGAGTCTGAGCACTGCCAGCCCAAAAAAAGGCTAAATCTTTGGATCGTTGGCATGCTGGAGATGAAGATGGAGATGGGCTGATACGATGATGCCGAGCTAAATTCGGTCAGGTCGAAAGGTCGTCTGCTTGTCCCATCACTCGCCCCTCTGCCAAAGCATGCCGGCGATGCATCGCTCATCACCGTGACATGACCGTGTGCATGACCACCACCTTGACCACAACCATGACCATGACCAGTGACCGTGATCAGACCTTGACCTTGACCTCACACTTTCCACCACCCCCGTTTGCCCGTTTCCCGTTGGCTTTTTCTGGTGGCCCCCCTTTTTCCCACCAGCCCATCCATCATCCATCCTAGGCCATCCTTCTTTTTTCCAAAACATCCCATCCCTCTTTTCGACTGTAACTTGTCCTCCGCCAGCCAGCCCGTCTTAGTCTACTCTGGCAATCATTACGCCAGTGTGTTCCTGTCGCTCCATCTTTTGGTCCCTGGTGTGAATTGCTTATTGGCTGCCGCCACGCGTACCCAGCCCGCCGTCGTAGCTTCCACTTCTGCGGCTTGCCTGGTCCTTCTGACTACGGCTGCTACTGCTTGCTCCTCCTCTTTTTTTTTTTTTTTTACACCCTCGCTCTTGCGTCGTCTCGTCTCCCTTGCCTGCAAACTGGGTTCTGGGTTGAACCGGGCTCTCGTCAACTTTCGGACGCGGGAAAGGGGACCCTGACGGCTTTGCAGCCGAGCCTCGAACCGCCTTTCGATCCAAGACAAGGCCCCGTGTCCCTGGAGAGTGAGAGTGAGTTACCGCGCATCACGCCTGTTGCAGACTTGATGGGCCAAATACAAGATCATCCTTTCAATCGGTCCCAACTGCCTGGTGCCGCCACAAACTCTGCCTGCCGAAGCGTACGTTGCTCGGCTGACTGCTTTCGTCGGTCGGTCGCGTGGATTCATTCATTAATCACGGTTGCGGTGCGGTTCTTGTTCTTGTCATTACTTGATTGCTCCAGTGTATCATCGTCGTCTTGTTCGCTGATTGCATTTGGAGTGGCTCAGGCACTGTTTGAAAGCCCAGGCGTTGTGGGTGGAAGGTCCTCTTCCTGCCCTTTCTGCCAAACACTCGGGACCCACCTCTACAATACCACTGCCTTGACCTTCATTCCAAAACCCCCATTTCAGTCCAGACACTCCAAAACATCTAATACTGCTCCTCACTTGAATTGTTCTCGATCCTCGTCTCATTGCAATGTTCTCTGTCATCAGAGGACATCACCCTTTCCTTCCTTTCACTTAGACTCTGCACAGTCCGCCTGACACTTCACAACACCCTCATATTCAACCTCATCCTCGTCTGCGACATACTCATGCCGCCCCCGTCACCGCACGCTACTTAACACAACATTTCCACTTCGCTCGACTTCTTTACCCAACAGATTCCCTCACTTCATGTCGTCGATGTCTACCATTTGCAGTGCTGTTGGGCCCTCAGATCGGTCGAACTCGACATTGAACGCACCCTGTCAGGATCCAGCTGCATATGGGTACAAAAGGTGGAACTCTGAGACCTATTTTAGCAGCGGTTTACCTACGCCTCCAGGATCAAGGACCATGCCTGGAGTGGTGCTGGGCAACAGTTATGCGGCACTTCCTGCACCTGCTTTTCCGCAGAACCAGCACGGCAATTTGCCAGACGGAACCAACGCTTCTTCTCATCAACGCACTGCGGTCCCAACGACGAATCATTCATATGCTCTGGCTCCTCCTGCAAACGGACCGAACCTTTACAACCGTCGAGCAGCTCCCGATCAAAATGATGTGAATGTCATTGCACCCCACCTTCAGATACCCGAGTCGGTGAACAAGACTAAAGGGAGTCTGGCTGAGTTTGCTGCAGAGATAACATGCCTCTTCTGGTTTGAAACGGCACGAACTCTTCAGTACGCAGAAGATCTCCCAGAGGACGCACCGGTAGACAGGGGATTGGTCCCAGATGCCTTACCCGCGATGGGGTTTCGAAAATGGGTGACCACGATTATCAGCACCACTCAGGTCGGGAAGAATGTCATCTTACTTGCCTTGTTGTTCATCTATCGACTCAAACGATTCAACCCCAGTGTGAGCGGGAAGCGTGGGAGCGAATTCCGGCTCCTGACGATTGCTCTGATGCTGGGAAACAAGTTTCTGGATGACAATACATACACAAACAAGACCTGGGCTGAGGTTTCTGGCATCTCAGTCACCGAAATACACATTATGGAAGTCGAATTCCTCAGCAACATGAGATATGCTCTCTACGCCTCGGCTACAGAATGGAATGAATGGAAATCCAAATTGGGAAGGTTTGGCGCGTTCTATCAGAAAGCCTCCCAGCTACCCCTGGTAGATGAGAGCAGAGCAAATGGTGGTACCCCAGTCACGCCTACCGCTCAGAGTTTCCCCCAGAAGCTACCCTCGCCTCCTTCCACTCATCACAGTGTTAGCCCTTATGGTGTCTCACCGTCCGTCAACGGTCACTACCCCGTATTGCCCTATCCTTCATCCGCAGCAACACAACTTCCGAGTTCACCTCTTCGGCAACAAGTCGGTTTGAGGGGATACCACCAAGAGCGGAAACGGAGTGCCGATTACTCTGCCGAGCTCCCTCCAGCGAAAAGGCAACAATTATTCCCAGGCCAGCCTTCTGACCACACTGGAAGTATGGGAAGCTCACATGCATATACTCCGAATAGTCTAAGAGTTTCTCCCACGCATGGCACCGGCATCACGGATGCTAGGGTCCCTCCAACATTGGACATCCCGAGACTGGACATGCCGAGGATGCCACCCTCCCTTCCACTTTCAAATCCTCAACCCACCCTGTTGCCAGTCCAGACCAGTCGAGCGCTGTCGACTGTCTACCCAACCGCAACCGGCACCTATTCCCACCCTGTCACGCCAATATCTGCTGTACCGCAGACGCTGTTTCAAAATCCCGTTCCAAGTCTAGGAGATGGTTCCCGATCCATATCGGCACTACCTTCGGCTCATACCTCTCCATCCAATGGATATAATATCACTACTCCTACATTACCAGGACTATCGCCCTCATACTTCTTGACCCATCGCACCTCTCCATATCGACCGGTTCGACATGTCAACACACTTTTGATACCTCCGCCGTCGGCCGCGTTGCAGATGCCGGTCAGAAATGTCCCCTCCGACCAGATCCACTACCACCCGTTGAGCAAAGTCACCACTGATCGCCGGACTGGACCGCTTCCCAATTTTCAACCCGATGGGTGGCAACATAGCAATGTTTCCACGCCTGTCGCTCAACATCAATATCCATTTTGAGAGTCGATTCTCAATACTGTAGGTTTTCTCTTGCTGTGAAAAGGGGAAGACATTGCACTGTCCTACATTGCATAGCCTGGCGGGTCGTGTTTTGATATTTTGTTTTGTACTGAATGCACTCGGCTTAGCGAAAAGCATTTTTATGGCGCTGGGGTTAGAGGGTATTATGGCAACATATGGCAAGCTGAGAATACCTTGTCTGGAAAGACAAGAAGTGTACAGAACTAGAAGATCCAGCATAACTTGGTCACAATACCTACCTCCCGTGATGCTTGGGAGAAGAAAAATGCGAGGGGATTGAGCTGGTCAACTGAATCAAAAGACTTCGATCCCCCAGGCATTGTTTCAAGCTGGTGCTTCTTCCAATCACCGCAATTTTCGTGAGAGCGGGTTGTAATCAGGTGATTCATGCCAAGCCCATCGGAATTTCCATCCATGCTCCATAATCCCTCCTCGTTTCCATGCCGCAGAAGGTGAGAACGAGGTGCAGCGAAGCTTGATATACACAACCGTCACGGTAGGATGGTGTCGGGCAGGGCATAAGACCGATCGCAAATGATGCAGCGTCTATGCAAGCAGCTTCTTCGCAAGGATGCGCAAGACATTACTCCTTGTTTTTATCCATGGCTTCAAAGTACGTTCAATGCCACAAAGCAATGCTCTGCCCGACACCCAGGTTTCGGCGCCGCCGGGGCTGCAGTTCTGTCGCCTTGCTTCCGTGTGCCACCTTTCGTTGCTAGAATGCTGATCATACCCCCTCTAGGGCGGCGATGACACCTTCGCGGTCTTCCCAGAACACCTACGAGCCCTCGTGAGCCATGCCCTTCCGAATATCGATGTTGTCACTGTGACATATCCCAAATTCGAGACCCGAGGCGAGCTGAGGGACTGTGTCGCCCGGTTTCGAGAATGGTATGTGGTGTGCGAGGAACTGTTTGCTCCAGAGGGCCCCGCTAAGAAGTGCACGTCTGCAGGCTACAAAATAAGGTCATCGACTTGGAGGTTGCTCGCTCAACTCCATCTCCTACCGTGGATCCTTCAGTCCATGTAATACTGATCGGCCACTCGATGGGCGGCATCGTCGCGGCTGAGACATACCTCATACTCGCCAGTGAACAACCCATTCCCGCCCCGTCTTCTGGGCAGAATCCAGAAAGGCCGAATTTCCCTTCCAACACAACGCTGGGTTCGACGACGTCCACCTCCCATCCGACTCCATATCACAATGAGCCCGATCCGATATCCCACAGCTTCATGTTCCCGCACATTCAAGGCGTCTTGGCCTTCGATACGCCATTTCTCGGGCTGGCGCCAGGAATGGTAGCCCATGGGCTCGAGGGTGGCCACAAAGTCGTGGCCAACGCCTACAATACATACTCTGAAGTAGTCTCCATGTTCGGTTGGGGCTCCAAGTCCGAGCCCAATGTCTCATCAACCTCACCCGCATCTAGTTCCAGATCCATTGGCGCCCTACCTGCACCAGCTTCCTCCTCCACGGAAGACGCAGCGGCCGCCCCCAAATGGCAGGCTTGGGGGAAATATGCAATGTTTGCTGGTGCAGCTGGCGCTGTCGTTGCAGGCGGTGCCGCGGCCTTGTACTCACAGCGCGAGAGGCTTAGCGCTGGTTGGAAATGGGCCGGCGACCACTTGCTGTTCGTGGGAGAGTTGTTCAAGCCGGAGCACTTGCGTAAGCGGGTCGAAATTCTGGAGCAGGAATGCAAAGAGCGAGGAGCAGGATGTGCGAATCTGTACACTAACCTTGGAAAAGGAGCTAGTGGCGGATATGGCATCACGGAAACTCTGGCAGGCAAGGAGCGGACTTTTTGCAATCTACCCGTACATGTCAGCCGAGGTAGGAAAGAGGGCAAAGAAGGTACGGGCGAAGGAACACCAAGCGGATTTAAATGGATCAAGGCTGTCAACGACAAAGCTTCCGACGAGACCACGGCGCATGTATCCATGTTCATTCCACGGGATAACCCGGGGTTCTACGCCCTTGGGGAACATGCCAAGGAGTGCATCGCTCGGTGGATTGATCAAGGCTGGTACCGCGCGAGCGACGGGCCGACGTTTCTCAAAGCAGAGCACAACCGCGTGGGACTGGGCGAATCACCAGACGGAGGATGGGTGAAGCCCGATGTCGACGAAATCAGGGCTCGGGAGAGAGCAAAAGATCGCTATGGCAATTCCTACAACCACTCAGATGCCGATTACGATGCCGATGTTGATGCAGAGCGGAGTCTAGGTAAGGACTGGGACTCTGTAGATGTACACCACGGTAAAGATGGTGTTGATGATCTACTAGACGACGGAGGCCTAAGGATGAGAGAGGAGGATGAAGAGCTTGAGGACAGCGTGATTGTTGAGAAAAGGGCGGCCAGTGGAGAATTACCGCTACCAAAGTCGAGAAGCAATAGTGGAGTATGAGGACTCGACAGAGGAGTTCCTCCATGTACAAACAACAACAGCTAGAGATGGAAAAGGCTCTACAATGGACCACCATGAGACGAGACACATGACACGACACGACACGACACGCCACCAATTTGCGAATGCTAGACAACGTCCAGCATTCTAGATCTAGGAGGACATCTCAAGTCCTGGATGGAATGGACAAGCTGATGCTTATCAAAATCGAGCAGAATGGATGTACCTAGGTCGCCACACACCGGAAGTTCGTCAAGCGCAAGGTCACACTCAACCCCGACGAGGAAACTCAGCAAGCTACTACACCGAAGTCGAGATCCTTGAAGGCACTGCCTGGCTGAACATGGGCGTGGCGTGCTGGCCATCTAGCGATCTGAGTCTGCCCCGACTAGGAATTACAACACCCACTAAGGAACTTGATAAGGTCGTGATAGAAAATGAATTCGACTTGGACGTGAACTCAGATTGGGAAGGCTTGAGAGGCTGAGTTGACTCTCAAAGACCATGACGATTTCAATCCTGAGCGAACCTTGGAAATAGGTGAATGTCAGAGGAGAGCGTGAGCAGGTAGGTCCCATTCCTTGTGCGAGAAAGCCTCCTCTGCCCTCCTCTCCTCTCGTGGTCTTGTTCGATGTCTTCTTCGTCTTCTCCCTCTTCCTCTTCCTCTTCCTCTTCCTCTTCCTCTTCCTCTTCCTCTTCCTCTTCCTCTTCCTCAACTTTGGTCCTTGCTCCACGCCATGAGTGTACTTGTCCTTTACGCCATTCATAAGCCCTCTCGACAGTCACATTCATGCTCTCTCCCTCTAGACAATTTCCAGTCACATTCATCCTCAGCCCGTCCCACTCTGCTCCTCGGTGCCCCTCTTCTCCGGCATCCTCTGCTTCCCCTCCTCAACCATACCCTCGCACCCGGTAACCGTGCCCGCTGCGTTCTCGAGCATGCCCAGCACTGACGACTGGGTAGGTTGTCCTTGGGCGGATTCGGGATCGGACTGAGCCTTGGCGTCCTTTATCTCTTGCACGGCGGCGGCTTTAGTCTGCGCTCCGGAGCTGTAACCTGCTGCGGAGGAGATGGCGCCTTGGACGTACTGTTTGGGTTACGGAAAGAGAGGGTGTTAGATTGTAGGTGGGAGAGGGGATCGATGAGAACGAGGACGAAGAGGGGGAGTGACTATATGCATATGGATATCTGTGTGGATGGAACTTACATCGACATGGCCGCCTAGCAGCGAGGCCTGTGAGTCTGAAGAACTCGACGACTGTTGCTGGTTTGATGACATTGTGAGAGGGTTATGTTGTTTTACTCCTCACCTCGTGATTTCAACTCTCTGGCTCTCATGTTAATATGTTGCTGGTGCTGCATTTCGATCAATGACGATGTCGCCAAGGCGTTGGACGTCGATGATGATGTCATGCCACGTAGTTCTGGCCATGTCACAGCCTTGCACGTGCAGATTGATCCCTTCCGACTTCAGCCTCGTTCCGGCTTGGGACTGTTGCCGAGGTTGTTTCTCTGCGAGCTTCCCTCCCCCTTGACCATTAATTCTACTCCATACCTGTACGCGACCGAGACGAATTGTTATGAATCCATGGTCGTAAATTCCTCGGGCCTTCCTCTTGTTCCCCCAAACAAGAGCCGACCATAACATATATTTTTTGATCGAACACCAACCCGACAATGGAGTCTCGGCGGATCCAGACTGATCAATTGACCGAGTGATCCAGCTACATAGCACGGCGCATGCATGCATGCGCGCTTTGCTTCTGCCCGTGCAGCCGATAAATGTTTGTCACTCCCATTTCTGGCGACGACCACCCCGAACCATGACGACCAGGTTTGAAGTGCTCAAGGGCAAGAAGCCCATCTCGTTCAGGCGCTTGATGGCCCTGAAACAGACTGGAGACGACGTCTTCGAATCCCTGACTCCAGCCTGGCCACCCGCCCCCCATCGGAGAGCATTTGGAGGCCATGTGTACGCCCAGGCCATGTACGCTGCCAGCAAGACCGTGGATAAAGGGCTGGTGGTCCATGTACGTTCCCTCCTATAGGTGCTCTTCTGTCCCAAGATGAGCCTGATCTCTTTTTTGGTTTTGCTGTTGTTGACAGCTTGGGTCCCTTCGGGTATAGCAAATGACTGGGTACTTTATCCTCCCCGGTGCTATTGATATTCCGTACGTGTATCGCGTGCGCAGAATTCGGGATGGCGGCATGTACTGCTTGAGAGGGGTCGACGTCTATCAACACTCCGAGGCCGCCGCGCAGGGCAAGTCGCCTTGCTTCGTTGCCACCATCTCGTTCAAGCGATGCGAGAAGGGCATCCAGAAATGGACCGGTTACGAGTACCAAGAGATGCCCAAGGATCACATCCAGAAAGAGTACCATAGTGTCTTGGAAGGCCTCAGGCCCGAAGATCACCCTCTGGCCCCGGGCGCCGATGCTCTCTGGTGGGAGCAGGAAGAGGAAGAGTTCTGGAGCCGCGACGCGGCGGCCTTCCCGGGGGTGGAAACCAGAAAGGTCAACATGGCCAAATACAACGGCAAGGCAGAAGTCGGGGGCGGCACGAACGGAGATGGGGCGTCGCGCTGGCGCCAGCTGCTCTTTTACCGGCTCATCCAGGACGACGAACCGTCCGAAGAGAGACAGGAAGCCGCCAACGACCTGAACTTGCACGCCGCAGCCCACCTGTACGTGTCGGACAGGAACTCGCTCTTCCTCATCCAGCGCGCGCTCGGCTACGAGGCGGTTCGCACCACCATGGCGTCGCTGTCACACACGGTCATCTTCCATGGCCTAGCAGACCATCTACGCATGGTTGTTGACGACCACCCCCACCCTCACCGGCAGGGCGGCACTTCGAAGTGGTTCGTCCAGGAGTCGTGGACCAGCAACGGCGGCGACAACCGCGGATGCCACCACAGCCTCCTGTGGGACCACAAAGCCGGCAGGGTCATCGGCACCTCGATCCAAGACGGCATGTTGAGGTTTCCGGCAGAGCTGGTCGAGAAGGCCAAGGCCAGCCATACTACGAAAAGCTCATTATCGCCGCCTGCCCTGGACAAGGCTGGTAGCAGTAAACTATAGTGCTCAGTGTCTCAAAGTCAGACTTCCCTGCCTGTGCTATGCTGTGCTGCAATGGCTGGGAGTTGAGCAATCCACCCTGCATAGGGATATCAGACATGTCAAACCACAATCTCCTGCGCTGGTCTACGAAAAGCTGTCTACATCCATGCATACATTAGATGGCACCGTGCGTGTGTGCGGTGGTTTTTGAGATCGCCATGGCGTCTGTCCACATGTAGCTTCTGCTGAACAGAAGCTTCTTGATTTATTGTTTTCTCGTTTCAAGTCTCTTTTTTTGGTGTTTTTAGGGGAGAAGATCGTACGGAGTCATTCCTCATTCCTTGTTCGAAGAAATATTCCACCTGATCTCCATACAACGATCTTTTTTTTTTTTGGCTTGCGTGTATCATACGCAGTGGTTTCTGTCTTTTAAAGGGCCAAATTCGGATATTAAAATAGAAAATACACGTCGGGAATATATAGCATCATGTCAATCATTACGTTAGAAACCACGAACGGGAGAGAAAAAGGAGAGATCTTCGATGACGACGAACGTAGGCTTTCCCTTCATAAGCTATCCCGGCCTCCATCCTCCTTTTGAAGCCAAACATCACATTCTGAAGGGTCACCACTAGCGCGCCAACTGTTAGTTACAGAGCAACCTAACACAATCCGTGTAAGCTCACGCTTGTTGCTGCCATTTGGATGGAGCCTGGCCCGTGATCCAAAGAATAAGTTTCACCCTCAGTTGGAATGGTGACATTGATGGCCCCGACCAGATTTGCTGCTTCAACGAGGAGAAACGATGACCAAAGGGAAAACCAAGACATTGTAAACCGTGAACGCAAAGGGAGACTATCGGCCATATTTCGAGGTCAAAAATGGGACGAACGAGTTGTTTTAGAAGAGAGAAGCCCCCCTTCAAGAACTCATTCTCTTGAATTACAGGCCAATACATGATCGGGGGTGTATAGTGGAAAGGGTCTGGTGGTCGACCCGGGTCCAGAACCGTGTGACGGCGAGGAAATAACGAGAAGCCTTCTTTACCAAGGATTGTTGGGGATGGCAGAAGCAGGAGGGATTCCCAATCGACCTGCTACTGGTTCCGAAAAGTACGTTGTCCGCTCATCAAAGCAGCGTGTCATCGTGGAGGAATGACAATGCTGTCGTGACGGAAAGGCAGAGAGAAGATTGTAAGTGATGCAGGTCATGGTGGAGAGGAATGAAGATTCATGAGCTGATGGGATTCGGAAGACGCGTTTCTCCGAACCCGGAACTGCAAAATTCAACTGAACGCCACCACCACAACTCCTCTTATCTCACAACGCACCTACCTGATCTTTTCATCCCTCGCGCTCCAACCTTACCTTGGTCCAAAGGGACTATATAGTCAATTACTTCACACATTGGTCGACAAAGGTGTCTGAATGGCAATTCGAGATCCCACGCAACTCTCTGCCGAGTCTTACAGGAAGTTAGGCCAGACCGTCCAGCACCGGGATTCCATAGTTCTACAGCCAAGCTAGAAAGCGGAACAATGGGCATCATCATACGCCCTATCACTGCGGAAGATATCCCTTCGACGGTGGAGTGCATCCAACTCGCATTTGCCGACGACCCGTATCATCTGTGGGCCTTTGATGCTGCGAAGTTCAACAAAGAGCGCAACTTTGCTAGCCTCAAGGCTAAATGTGAATGGGGGATGCGCAATGCATTATTCTTCGTTGCCAAGGATCCAGATGACGAGGGCGGCAGAGTGCTAGGAGTCAGCATGTGGATGAAGCCCAGGAAGGTCCATCAGAAGCAGACCTGGTCCGAGTGGATCGACGACTACATCCTCTGGTTCAAGCAGGGATGGAATCTCTTCAGGTTTCACGGGCGTGGCGGGTTGAGGACGAATCGATATTGGATCTGGAAGCGCGAACAGGCCATTGCTCAGTCAGAAATCTGGACCGACCCCGATGGTTACTACTTCTGCAACATTGTCACTGTCAGGCCAGGCATTCAAGGCAAAGGGATTGGCCGCCAGCTCTTCGAGACCGTCACTGACATGGCCGACAAGGAAGGGCGCCGATGCTATCTTGAATCCTCCAAGGAGAAGCCCAACATTGCAATCTACGAGAAGATGGGCTTTCGGCTTGCCCGAAAGATGGTGTGCGAGGAGGGAGGCGAGGTCTGCGACCTCTTCTGCATGGTCAGAGAACCACAATCCAAGCCGTGAACAAGGGCAGGCTCCGTGGACTTGCCGTCGAGGATATCCCTGTCGGGGCCGCCGTATTGACAACTCGCATTGCCCGTACGCAGGCAAGCTTACCGTCTTCATTCCCCATCTCGTCAATAAGTGCCGTGGCTTCCATCGGTGATGGGGATGGTTTTGAACTCCCGGCGCAATGTCTCACTGTCGTTGGCTCTCTGCGCCCGACTCCCAGGGTGCTGTTGCCGCACTGGCGCCTCTGAAATCCTGTCCGTGGGTCTCTGTGGTGCAGGCGGTCAATCAACTGGTGTGTGATTTGAGGTGCCCTTGAGGGCTAGGTGCTGAGGCCCGGCTGACGCAGTGGCAGTAGCCTATCTCTATATTTTCTGCTCTCTGTTATGACACCGACCAGACTGACGCCTGGCGGCGAAGGAAGCTTGAAGATTCGCCTCGAAACAGATTGGGTTGGGGGATGAGTCAGGTCTGGAAATGTGTCGAGTTTTTTCGTCAAGGAGCTCCTTCAGCAAAATCTTGCGG